ACCTGCAAAAGGATTTGTTTCCTGTCCATCCAGGCCTGACAGTGGACAATTTGCACGTATCACCTGTCACCTGTGCCCTGTGTCTATAGTACATTTCAGGCTTGTCTTAATCATTAAAACGGTCCTGCCACTAATTAACTTTTACATTGCCTTGTCATAGGTGACACCTATTCCTGTCCTTTGTTTGTAAATCAGTTGCCTATTAGCCTAGAAAATGGAGAGAAAACATGCTATTGACGTCAATGGGGTTTGCGTTAAAGTTTACAAGTGGCAAACTTTTCAGCACATTGGCTAAACACACCCTTGAATAAAAATTGAGCAATTCGCTCGTCACTGTGGGCCAGTTTTATTCTTATTTATTATCTATGGTCTCTTAATTCTTGTAGAAAAAAACACCTGCCTGTGCCCTGTGTCTCTAGTACATTTTGGCCTAGTCTTGCTCTCTAAAACTGTCCTGCTGCTGTTTTTTTGCACAGTTGAGCTATATTCTATTTCACTTGACACTCTTAATTCTTAAAGGGAAACACCGGCATGTGCCATGCGTCTCATAGTACATTTCATCCAATTCTCCCTTATCAATAATATCCCACTGCCGGTCTATTTTTTTACACGGCTTTATCATCATCTGTAGTCTCTTAGGGGGTTATTCACAAAACGGTCGAAGGCAGCCGAGTGAATAACCCAGCCGAAGTGAAGTGAGCCGAACGCTGCTCGACTATTCACTTCATTCTTGTACAGCTGATATCAGCTGAACATCGTTCTACCCTATTCTCATAGGGGCCAAATGGCAGTGAGTGACTAGCTGAATGCCACCATGCGGCATTTCAGCTCTGCTATTCTGCTCGGTACCTCCGACTTCATTCATTATACTCCCATCGCATAATGAAGCATCTGACAGATGGTGGCAAAAGAAAAACAGTTGGGCTGAGGTAGCGATGACAGATAGCTCCGCCCAACTGTTTCCTATTGGCCGGCACCTGCCAGAGTCTTCCAACAGGTCCAGGCAAATAAACACAACAACTGGGCGGAGCCGGCCATGATGTCAAAGCCGGCTCCTCCCAGTTGTTATTGTTTAATGTCAGATCAGCATCCCCAGGTTATTTGGAGATGCTGAGCTGTCATTAAAACTGGGCAGAGCATGCCGTGAGATCACGGCTGGCTCCGCCCTGTTGACATTTACGTGAAAATCAGTCGGCTTTGGCTGACTTTTCCCCACACTTCAGCTGTCACTTCAGCTCGGTCGAGCCGAAGCGTATGCTTCGGCTCGGCTAAGCCGCCCGGCTGCCTTCGGCTGCAGTACGGGCTATTGTGAACAGCCCGTACAGCAGCCGTTCGGTTCAAATGAACCAAAGGGCAGAGTTGGCCGAAGAGAGCCAAAGGCTCAGCCGAAGCTACGGCTGGATCCTTTGGCTCTTTATTGAATAACCCCCTTAATTTATAATAAGAGTATCATAGAAATTGGCCAGTAGCAGGATGGTTTTGCATCAGTTAAAACAGGGAAAGCCTTAGTGAACTACTTGCCAATTTCTGTCTGCCAATCAAAGTGGTCCTTGTACTGCTTGATAAAAATACATTTGACCGATTCCTCCATCCATGTTAAGCAGCATGGATGATTACATTTCCAGCTGACAAGCTATTGTATTCAGTAGGTGCTGCTCCAGCAAGTTCGGGGTGCCTGGCCCCGAATTGATTGAATACAAGTGCTGTAAGGCAGATAATTTTTGTACTGGGTTTCTCGACAGGAACCAGATGAAATTCCCTGAATGTATGACCATATTAGGTCAAGATAACTGTCGATGAGAAAAATTAATTCCACCGCCAAATATGTACTGACAAAATACACCGTCACCAAGGCTGTCCATGAAAATCATGTTGTTTCGTAATACCATGTACAGCTTTAAGAAATCCTTCAAGCCTGAAATTTTAAGAATTTTTAGTTTTTCCTATTTACCCTCAAAAAGCTGTATAAAAAAAGTCCCTCTCCTCACTGCATATTTTTAATTGGCATTGTTACGGGTTCCCCCCGGCAGTACCTTACTTCCTATGACAAAATCAAAAGGAGATGTGCACGGATTGCAGAGATGTACTGAATTAGTTTTTTTTCATTTTGCCCTGACATGTTGCATGCTTTAATGTCCTGAACTGCAGTGACCATTGCTTTTCACTTATACATCATCTACTTAGTAAATGAGATTTGGTTCTTGTAGTTAAATACTTTGTCCTTTTTTTTAGCGTGTCTCCAAAAGAATCTTTTGCCACCTCCCAAAAATCAGAAACCGAAATCCAAGATGGTGAGTTATAAATAAATTATGTAATCAACACAGTATAGAACAGTATATATCTAGATAGATCTATATATGAAGAAAAATAATGTGGCATCACAAAGGAATTCTATTATTAAAAAATATGTATAAAAAACACTTATTCAAGTCTTACAGAGACTCTATAGGAAATCAGAAAGCATGTGCACTGGGATGTGCTTTTCTATATCGTATAAGTACAGAAATAGGGTGGGGGACATACTGAAGTTAGGTTCCAGTAAGTGCCCACAATAGGTTTGGTGATGCTTTGGCAGCTCTCTGGTGTGCCATTACCATAAACTAGGTCCATTGGATAGAATCTGCAAGTAAAAGAGATAAAAGCACCATAAAGGTTTAAAAGTCCAACAAAAAAAATACAATTAGCAAGTACTGAGGAAAATGCAACCAATTTTGAGGGAACAGACCTATTCTGGGCACTTACGGCAGTTAGGGTGATCAAGTCATGAAGGGAACTTTAATTAGGATTTTATGGTTTTTGGCTGAGGAGAACCTGGAAGAGCAAAGAGATCCTTGAGAATAAAATGAAAACTGATTCTCCTGTATCAGTTTTCAGTGGGCTAAAGAATGTCTTGGTGTCAATAGCCAGTAGAAGGAACAATTACCCTACATTGGTGTTTGAGAGAGAAGAAATGCTCTGTCTATGCCTTGATGTCATTCTTAGTGGGAGGAAAAATGCTCCGGCATTAGTGTTCATAGAAGAAAAAATGCCCCATCATGGCCAGTGGGGAGAACATTTCTCCTGCATTTGTGGCTGAGGGAGGAAGTATGCCCCATCATTGGTAGGCATTGTGGTTAGAAATGCCCTGGTGTTGGTTCCCATGGGATAAAGAATGTATTGCCCTTCCTGTCTGTTGGAGGAAGGATTATGTAGTAGAAAGATCTGTCATTAGTAGTCAGTGTAGTTAGAATGCCCATATATCAGCTTCAGTGGGAGGAAAAATGCTCCAACACCAGTGTCTATAGTAGAACGAATGTCCTTTCATCAGTGAGATGAACAATGGCCCTGCAAATATAATGGGAAGATAAAGGATGTCCTAACATCATTTTCTGTGGGATGAAGATTGCTGCAGACACATATTTTGATATAGGATAAACTTCTTAGTGACTGTGTCTGTGGTAGGAGGAATGCCCTAGAACTTGGGTCCACCAAAGAAAATGTCCCAGGATCAGTATTTTGTCAGGAGGAATGTCCCATCATCTGTGGTCTGGTGTATGTTTCAGTTAGAGGAAAAATGCACTAACATTTATGAGTGGGGAGAATGCCCTGTTCTCACTGTCTGTGGAAGATATAATGCCCTGCTGTTGGTGTCTCCAAATGGAGTCACCCATAATTTTTGGTTGGTGGCATTAAGAATGCCCCTGCATTTGTATTGGAATTAGGAAAAATACTCCATCATTGGGGTAAGTGGGAGAAGGAATGTTCCAATGACAGTTTGAGGGGGGAGGAGAAAACTCCAGTTGACTGTATCCATCAGTGGAAAATGCCCTTGCATCGGTATCCATGGGAGGAAACATGCCTTGGTATCTGTGACTGTGGAGCAAGAACAGCTTGGCATTGGGATCTATGAACGTAAGAATGCCTACCAGGAAGCCTAGCTACAATTGGTGTCATTAGGAAACCCCTCCTCAATACAGACAACTTTCCCTGAATGGAGGATCCATGTACGAATTGCTGCAGCAAGGGTAGTCCCTGGCCTTTTTGCTGCCTGAAGCAGCGGGAAAGAGGAGGGGGGCGTCCTGCCCAGTTTCAAGCAAACAGTGACATCACTGGTTGCCAGGAGCTCGGTGAGACACCAGCACAAAAGTCCCAGGTTGCTAAAAGCTGGGTGAAAAGCTGTATATGGCCTTTACACATCTCCACTCCCAGCTCTTAGCAATCTAGGATGCTCTGACTGGAAAGGGGGTGGCAGGCACACTGAAAAATTTCTGCAGCAGAGCGGCCACGCCACTCAGCTTGGTGCTCCACCCATGTGACCCAAAGTGATGCTGTCTGAGGCAACAGCCTCCTTATAGGAAAAGCCCTTGCTGCAGCTCATGCTGATTGGTGATGTTGGTGTCAGAACTATGCAGTTGAGCAGGAGATCACTCCACATGACAGTGCTAGCACAGAACCTCTCGCTCAATCATCCACCATCAGAAAACAGCACAGCTCAATTTGGTTTTAATCAAATCCTGGGACACTCTTGTAGGATATGGGAAGGTTGGGGGGAAAGGAAGGGGGGGGGG